GTTTCTCTGTACCTCTCTTGCCCACAAAAACCAAGTGTGGGGCCGACCCCGTGGCTCACTCGGGTGAGTGCCGCGCTGGGAGCGCTGAGGCCGCAGGTTCGGATCCTATCTAGGGACGGCCAGTGCGCTCACTGGCTGAGTGCGGTGTGGGCGACACCAAGTCAAGGGTTACGATCCCCTTACCAGTCACAAAAAAAAAAAAACCCAAAAACCAAGTGTGGACAGAAACATAAACAAGGACAAGCGAGTCACAGCAGACATGCCCTTACCTTCTGCACGGAAGCAGCTCTCTTCTCCTGCTTGGCTTTCATCTCTGCCAGCAGCCCACTGCCCATCATCTGCACCCCGTACCTCCGCCCTCCCTGCGGGCTGCTCTTGCTGTCGCTCTGGTCCACCCTCCCCGTTTCTTCCCCTTGACTCTCTTCAAGTGAGTCGGGTGTTTTTATCTCCTCTGTGCGTTCAGAATTGCCATTGTGCTCGGCTGCCTTCGTGTCCTTCCTGGGAGTGTCCAAGGCTGGACTTCTGGCTGCCCCTTTTGGCGAGGAGGGTTCTTCTGTCATCCAAACCGTTGGTGGCCGTTCAGATTTGGACCGGGACTTGATTAAATTGAGAAAGCCACCACTTTTCCGAGAATCTCGCTTTTTCTTTTCATCTCCTCCTTCACTGAGCTCATGGGACTCTGAGCCTCTTGTTGATGATTTCCTGCATTCCAAACCAAGACACAGATCCTGTTGGTTTTATTATAAATAAGTTCCAGCAGGGTGCAGTCAAAATATAAACACAGAGATCGCTGCATATATGAACACCATCCTGAAGCATTTTAAAAAGTTGATTTGAGTCATTGTGCTTAGGAAATAGAAAGGACTGTGACTATCATCATATTCACACGTGGGGAAAATGAGGCACACACAAATTAAGAATGAGAATCTAACTGTGAACAGAGGCGAGTTTATATTTTATGTTTAAATGCTCTAGTCAAGGGCATCTCTATGCATGTGAGCCAACAAATCTGGCTTTACTTGAGACACATGCGGGTGACTGCCTTATAGAAACTGTGGGACACTGGAAAGGGCCAGATTTCCCCATAACCACTTAACAACGCTTCTATAATTATTAGATACCATCTGAAATCTCACCCTTCGTGCTCAGTCCAAACAAAGATCTGGATCCTTGCTTAAATGTAATACCACTGAACGAGGCCACAAGATGTAAAGACAGGGAGTGAGTTTTGGTAGAGTTTTCAAAAGAGAATATTCTGAAACTTGGGAAATGGACGTGGAAGTAGGAGTGAGCACAAACTGCTGTCTTTCATTTAATGCTGGCAGATCGAATACCCATTTAGTTCTCCTGAATCCCCATTAAAATCACAGCAAGGGATTTTAAAAAATAAATAAAGGGGCATAAGCCCCACAGGGGAGAAAAGGCAAAACAAAATTTGGAAGCCAGAGTAGTTATGAATGAAAACTGATTTAATAGACGTGAGAGAGCTGAAACCTACGCCCACAGCAGGGGAGGCCCAGAAGTAATCGGATGTGTGCCAGCTCCACAACAGCAACAGGCACCTCCAGAAGTGGAAGTGAAGGGGGCGCTTGAGAGAGGAAGGCTCTTCTTTGTGAAGCCCATTCATAAAACCACTAGATCCTCTCTCCAAATCAAAGCCAATCACACTCCTCCCATCCCACATTACTCTCTGCAGATGGTGAATCAAAGAAACTTAGTGCAGCTGAGGCAAGTGTACTACAGTGAGGACAGGGAGGCTCCAGAAAGCCTGCACAATGAACGGTGATACCTTCCAGCCTCTTTCCTGCAATCTGGATCCCAGAATGGGGCAGGCAAGTTTATTCCCTACAGGCAGGTTACTGAAGTTTCCAAAGCTGAAGAGAAAAGACCTAAAGATTCTGACAGTCAGGGAGACCCAAAGAAGATCACACAACCCTGAAGCCCACCAGTTGACAAGCTGCACTCACAAACTTCTAAGAAGCTCACGTGTGCCCCATTCCACACCAACATGAAAGAGAAAAAAAGATGTTGCATCCACAAAATGAAAATAGTAGCAAAATGTGATAGCAGAAGTGGAAAACTTAAGGTTGCAAGATACAACTGAAAAAATCTCCCAGGAGGTGGGGGAGAGAGGATACAAAGAATGAGAAAATAGGAGAGAAAAGCTAAGAATTACTGGATTAATAGCGTAAACACAAGTTGAAAAACGGAAGTTTAAGAAAAAGAGTACATTACAAACGAAGAAATTATGAAAGAAATATATAAGAAAAATTCCAGAGCCAAAGGACATAATTTTCCAGATTGAAATGTTCATAAGTATCCAGCAAATTGGTTAAAAAAAAAAAAAAGATCTCACCCCAGAGCTATCATCATAAAACTTCAGTACACTGGGAACACAGAGAATATTCCAAATGCTTCCAGAGAAGAAGGAAAAGAAAAACAAGTCAGAAACAAAGGGTCAGGATTCAAGATAACATCGGATTTTTACAGCAACACTAGAAGCTAGAAGATAAAGGTGTGAANGGATTCAAGATAACATCGGATTTTTACAGCAACACTAGAAGCTAGAAGATAAAGGTGTGAAATTTTCACAGTTCTATGGCAAAATGGATTCCAACCCAGAATTCTGCATCTAGTTACACTCTTAATCAAAACGAAGATATGCAAGTTACAGATACTCACCTCTCATGTTCCCTTTCGCAGGAAGCAACCAGAGGAGGTGCTCCAGCAAAACAAGAGCCTAAACTAACAAAGAAGACAGCTCGGGCCAAAGGAAATAGGAAAATGACACAGGAAGGAGGTGAAGGGAATCCCCTGGCAGAGGAAGGAAGATCCCAGAGGACAGCAGTGGGACAGGCCTACAGGTCACACCAGAACCAGTCAGGTGTGGGTGAGAGATCTGTCCAGGAAGATAAAACTGAGAGCATCGGAACAAATTGTGAGAAGATTTATGCCTTTACTGGAGATTTAGGGGATAAGTTCATGATAGGAATGCAAAAAACTAAAAAAAAAAAAAGATCTCACCCCAGAGCTATCATCATAAAACTTCAGTACACTGGGAACACAGAGAATATTCCAAATGCTTCCAGAGAAGAAGGAAAAGAAAAACAAGTCAGAAACAAAGGGTCAGGATTCAAGATAACATCGGATTTTTACAGCAACACTAGAAGCTAGAAGATAAAGGTGTGAAGTTTTCACAGTTCTATGGCAAAATGGATTCCAACCCAGAATTCTGCATCTAGTTACACTCTTAATCAAAATGAAGATATGCAAGTTACAGATACTCACCTCTCATGTTCCCTTTCTTAGGAAGCAAGCAGAGGAGGTGCTCCAGCAAAACAAGAGCCTAAACTAACAAAGAAGACAGCTCGGGCCAAAGGAAATAGGAAAATGACACAGGAAGGAGGTGAAGGGAATCCCCTGGCAGAGGAAGGAAGATCCCAGAGGACAGCAGTGGGACAGGCCTACAGGTCACACCAGAACCAGTCAGGTGTGGGTGAGAGATCTGTCCAGGAAGATAAAACTGAGAGCATTGGAACAAATTGTGAGAAGATTTATGCCTTTACTGGAGATTTAGGGGATAAGTTCATGATAGGAATGCAAAAAACTAAGCAAATGAAAGAGGGGACAATTACTAACTCCAGAAAAAATAAAAAGTTGTACAGGAAATGAAATGTAATCATAGTACATACTATATAACTCAGCTGTGAATATTTATATGGTTAGAATGAAGTAAACACTAAATACTGATCTAACCAACAATTATAATAAAATTAAATAAAGAAGATGGGGAGAGGAAAAGTGCGTATAAGAGTGCTTGATGGGGATACAGTATGTAAGAGCTATTCTTTTTTTTTTTTTTTTTTTTGTGACCGGTAAGGGGATCGCAACCCTTGGCTTGGTGTCGTCCGCACCACGCTCAGCCAGTGTGCACACTGGCCATCCCTATATAGGATCTGAACCCGCAGCGGGAACGCCGCTGCTCTCCCAGCACCGCACTCTCCCGAGTGAGCCACAGGGTCGGCCCTGTAAGAGCTATTCTACCACCCTATATGGTAAAAAGGAAACAGTTATAATTACTATCTAAAACTGAAAGCAGAAAATTAAAAACAGAAAAAAAAAAAGGAAGACCATCAAGGAAACTGGAAGCAAAATAAACTAAAGGAATAGAAACTAATTGCCTTTAAGGAATAGAAAATTGGGGAAAGAAACAAGAGGCTTGTTTTTTAAAAAGCCCTGTAGAACATTTGACATTTTAAACTATGGGCATGTATAACTTTGATATTTCAAAGTTATTTTCACACTACTCCCGGATTTTACCTATGCCTAGCCCTTTACATGTCAAACTGACAATAGTCTATTTTTTAACAAAATGAAATGAAAAAAATCACAGCTTTTTTTGATGAAAACTGATATATCTAGTTCTACATGTGCACTGAAACATCAACAGAATCTTCCTACAGTGATATCTTTGTAGAAAATGGATTTTATGCCTTATAAAATTTACCCAACTTCCATTCATAGCCTGTTAAAGAAGAAGGTAGCATTAATGGGAGAGGAAATCACACTGAGGCAGCTATGACAATACATATAGTCCAGATCAAGGGCTCATGAATCTCTCCATTAACTTAATTTCTAAAGTTTAAGAAGACAAGAGCCTACAAAGGTATCTGTGGTTTATATGAAGACAGGCTGAGATTATCTTGATTCATTCAACTAGCACTGATTGAGGGCAGACTGCACATTATGGGCTGTGTTAGACACTGAAGTTATAACAGAAAATAAGACCCAGGTATGGTTCCTGAGGAACAGCATTCTATTTGGGAAAAAAGACTTGCAAGCAAATCATCAAGAGGGACTTTCACATTTTGCTCTGTTTATGTTGGTATTGCTTGAATCTCTTACATTGAAAATACATTCATCTATTCTTTGTGATGTAAAAAAAACTAAAAACCAAACAAACCCTCAAAGGATTATATGCGCTCTAACAGATGTGTGCAAAGGATGGAAGAAAAATAAAAAGCAGTAGAGAGACAGCAGTCAATTTGGGGGGACAGGGAGGAGCAGTCATGGGAGAGCTTCAAAGAATAAATGGCATTTAGGTTGGTTCGTAAAAGACAGGAGAATAGAATTTTTCCAAGTATCGTGTGCTAAGCTTCAAGGCCAATGTCACAGAAGACAAATAATTGGGTCCTAAAACCTGTAAGATTCAGTTAACTTACACCGTTATTGATATAACACTGTAACTTACTACCACCTCACCATCCTGCTGAGGCAAGATGAGGCACATCAATCTATAGAATGCACTAGTTCCTTCCCTGCCTGTGCCCAGCCTGCCTGCCCTCAGCTTAGAAGCATGGTTTAAAATCGTTCCTGAATACGATATCTAAGGTAAAAAATAATTCATAGACACAAATCCATGTTAAGAATATATTTGAGGATGCATCTGCATTTAGTTGGAGATTCAATAACTTCTTACAAATCATGCTCAAAGATTGGAATGTTCAAGTTAAACAACTGTTAAAAATACCCACTGAACTGTCTTCTGAGGAAACTTCATCTTAGTAATAAGGAAATGTAGAGAAAACCCTGTAGAAGCTAACTCTGAAGTCTCTTCACTAATTCTGTCATTTTGATACTATCTGTTAAATCATGCCATTTAGCAATTACTTAGGTCCCCCCAAATAAACCAAATTATGCACAAGGAGAATTTCAAAGTAATTAATTCAGGGACACCAATGCTCATTGCCTATAATGGAACCATCCAGGTGAATGTGATAAAGCCCTAAAAAAATAGCTGGGTGGGGTGGTACATTTTGTGGTCTAGTTTAGAATAGTACAATAGTTCTCAAATTGAGTATGCCTCAGCATAACCTGTAGGGCTTATTAAAACACAGAATGCTGGGCCCCACCTCCAGAGTTTTTAATGCAGTAGGTCTGGGGTAGGGGCTTGAGAATTTACATTTCTAACAAGTTCCCAGGTGACGCTGATGCTGCTCGTCCAGGGACCATATTTTGCAAACCATCAGAATAATAAATCCCGTACATACAATGAGATTTAGTACACTAAGTTTAATTATAACTGTAACTTAAATGTAAATTAAATTGCATTGTTAGTGAAATGACTTTGAACTCACTTGGAATCCATTTTGGTCACCTTCTTGGTGAAAAATTCATCTACACCTTCATCCACTCTCCCCATAAGACCATTCTGTTCACCATCTTGGGAAACTATGTTGGCAGCACAAACCTGCAAACCATACAAATGTAATGTGTTAATTCACATTCAACTTAATTCAGCAAAAATTTATTACTAGATTCAAGGCACTGTGATAAGGGCCACAGAGGGACAGGGCCACTAGAATAGGGACCATCTAATCTACTGGATCAGAAGCCAAGTGTACAACCTAACACAATGCCTGGTGGAGGATGCATGCTGACTGGTGAATCAGAAGCAGCTTGGACCTAACAGTCTACGAAGAGTTGAGTGTTTCTAAAGGCAGAGAAAGGCACTGCAGGCATGTGGAAAGGAAGAGGGAGTGTGTGGAAAAATTAAACACACCCTGAATTCTGAGAGTGCTGATGACTCCAGTGGCTAGGGACCGGAGGTGTGTGGGTGGGGTTAACTCCAAGACGGAGGCTGGCAGCATTAACAGTGGCCTCCTCAAGCGCGACTCCAAATCCTGTCCCCTGCTTCCTTTTTTTCTTGCTGGAAAAACTCAGATTTCAGGTTGTGCATATTGTTTTGTATAAGGCAAACACCTTAACTCCATCCTCTTGCCTTTGACTGATAGGTGTGTGTGTGGGATACAATCCCAGTCAATGAAATACAGGTGTTTTTTCTGCATGGTCATGTGACAGAGGATGTGATGTTTTAGCTGCAGCAGCTATCTGGAGTTCAGGAGGTGGGAGGCCTGAGTACAAAAGGCCACGTGCTGAAAATGACAAAGCAGAAAGGTGGAAAGCACCTGGGTGCTTGAGCTGTGCTGCTGAATAAAATAGCCCTGGATCCTGAGACCTCAATTTTTTGTTAGGCAACAAAATAAATATTTCTCATTGTTTAAGGCACTTTTATTTTGAGTATCTCATAACTTCCAGTTGAATACTTCCCAACTAATAATATAATGAACCATCATGGACAGCCTTGAACTTTATGCTAAGGAGTATGGAATTTATTCTGCAGGTGATAGGGAGCCAACATAGAAGCAGCATGGCCCAACCTGTATTCTGGGTGGATAATTCAAGGGCAGCATAAAGGTCAGATTGGAAAGGCCAGGGAATTTTAAGCAGGGAAATCTATTCAGGAGCTCAACAGCAAAGACTTCTGATCGAATCTAATCTGGAGGTGATGCTGAACTAATGCAGGGCTGGAGAAGTGAGAATGGAAAGAAAGAAGTTGCCCAAGATAAGGTCGAAGTTTCTAAGCTGGGTGAATGGGATCATGGTTATAAGGGACACAGTACAAAGATCATATTTGGGGAAGATGACAAGTCTCATCTTCTCAAGTGTGTGAGATGTTGTGAGAAATCCACAGGCAGGTGTCTAGCAGGCCTTCAAAAACTCATTTCTCACAAGAGAAGCTAGTGAGAAGCTATAATGAAATTATTCACCACATTGGCATTTCTGCTTTTGTTTTTGTTTTTTGGCATCTGGCGAGTATGGGGATTTGAACCCTTGACCTGCACTCTAACCGACTGAGCTAACCAGTCAGCCTAGCATTTCTCTTCGAATGGACAACTCACAGTGAGCTTAGTCTGATGCTTGATTTGTGTCTGCAATGCTGTTTTACACTTATATTTCACAGGGATAGGTGATGGGCCATCAAGAAAGAGCATGCATTTTGCCCACGCTATTGGGCACAAGGACAAATTCTCACGTGGGTAGGATACCTGGTCTGGATGACTTGCCAAAATGTGGTGGGAAAGTTATTTTCTGTAATCTTGATTTTCAAGTCTCAAGTTGCCTCGGGGGAAACTTGGCTCATGTCTACATGTACATTGTTTAAAGAAAAGACCAATCATTTGCTTTAAACAATCATCCACTTCATTCATTGGGAAACCTCCATTATAAAAATGAACTATGTGTTTGAGTTTACTTTTGTGAAATGCTGAAAAGTGAGCAGACAACAGATAATAAAGAACCCTATGAAATGTGAATAATGAAAGCAATTACTCCTCTCCCCTGAATGGTGCTTTCTATTGGAGCAAGGTTTTCCTATGTATTGCAATAGAGCAGAGAATCAGCCAAGCTCTATAATTCAGTTATGAAGAGGAAAAAATGGTCACTGAGTAACTTTTATTTTGATTACAAAAGATAAAGCAGAACAGAGCTTGTGTTATCATTTCTCCTTTTGAAAAGAATGGAGAATAGAATCTCTATAGCAGTAATACCCTTAGGTTGGTATACTGCTGGATAATTTACATGTGTTTTACATGTGATTATTTCACCCTCACATCTACCCTTTGAACTGAAAGGGAAAAATAGTTTTATCTGAGTTTTTTGTTAGTCACAGATCAAACAGTGGCTCAGAGGGTGAGGGGCACCCACACAGGTCACCTAACTGATGAAGAAGGATGTGACCTCAGGCCACAGGGTCCTAACATGGGGCTTCCTTCCAGATTTCCATGAAATGACTCCCCTTTCCATTTTGAGAAAAAAAAAAATTTTTTTTTTAAAATTTACTTATATAATTTCTACCCTCAGCCCTCTTCTTTTTTTTCTGCTTTGAAAAAGAATTCACAGCTGGCACAAAAGGTTCTCTGGGGACGTGGAGAACATCAATAGAGGCACAGGGCCGAACAAAGCAGTCTGCTTTCCTGGAGGCCAGGACAGTTTTTAGGGCTGGGCTGGAGATTATAGTTTCCCCAGTTCCACCCTGTCATTTTAGAGATAAAGAGACTAACAGTAGACAGGTTAAGAGAAGTCCATCGTCACTGGGAGATCTTCAGTGAGACACAATTTAAAATGCATTTGTTAAAATAGGAAGTGGCAGGTGGTATCAGCCTGTAAGAGCAGTAGAAAAACTGCAGACTGAAATGAAATGTAGTTTGTAAAAGAGTTCAAGGCCAGACACACATGCTGTTTTAGCTCATTTTCTAGCAAAAGGAAAGGCCATACAGATATCAGAAATTCTCATTTGATTTTGGTCTTTTCTGTCAAGAAGAATAAATTTCAGACGAAAAGGGTAGCATCGCTGTTGGAAAGGGAGAGCAGAAATCTCAGCCCTGAGCTGGCTGGAGCCGACTGCATTGTGCTCAGAGAAAGGTTTTTGGAAATAAAATCGAGAATCGCTGTTGTTGATACTTGAGATATAAAGGAGGTAGATTTTGCACCTCTGGTGTATAAGTAGATGCTAAAAGGATAATTTGTGAATTCATAGAAAATAAGCCAATAATTGTGAGGACTAAAGAACATTCGGACCACCCTCTGTGTTCCCTCTGCCAGGATTATTAAAGTGAACACACCAGGGAAACTCAGTAGGCGGTGCACCTGGATTTTGACAAGGCAGCTGCCAAATCTCTTACATGTCTTTATAAGTCAGACAGAGAGAGATGGGCGGAAAGTAAGGACAATTAGGTACATTAGTAACTCTTTGAACAAATATACCCACAGTGCTAATTAGTGAATTGAATAATCATGGAATCTTATATGCATATATTAGACAGTAAGAAACATGGAAAACTAATGAGCTAAGCAATCAAGTCAAGAGATAAGGAACCCAAGGGAAGTAAAAGGTAGGAAATGTAATAATAGACAAAAATTAATAAACTTGAGAGGCTTGATAAAACTCAGTTTATTCTTTGAAAAAAACTAATAAAGGAGACAACCACAAGACTAAGAGAAAAGGCATTAACAACATATTAAAACAAAAAATAAATGGGACAGAGCTATAGAAACAGGAGAGATTAAAAACTCTTAATTCTATAGACAACTAAATGAACAATTAGACTAAGTAGAAAATATCCTAGGAAAATGTAAATTATCAAAATGGTCTCACGAAGAATTAGGTAACTTGAATAGATCTGTAACAAAAGAAATCAAATCCCTAGTAAAATATCTACATATAAGCATCACATGCAAACAGCACACAGACAGACTTTTGAGCCAGATGGTTTCCCAGGAGAGGAACAGACTATCTCTATTATATGCAAACTGTTCCAGAGAATAGGAAAGGAGAAAGAACGTCCCAACTGATTTTAGGAAGCCAGTGTAACTTTGAAACCCAAACTAGATGGACGGTCTAGATAAGAATAAGAAAGAAAATTATAGGTCTCTCTCACTTATGCACATAGATGCAAAAATTCTAATAAAATATTAGCAAATCAAGCCTAGCAGCATAACAAATCAAAAATATCACCATCAAGAGTGATATAACATTAGAAAAATCTGTTAACATAATTCACCACGACAACAGATTAAAAGAGAAAAATAAATTACTAATCTCGACAAAAAACTGGGGGAAAAAATCATATTTAATGACCATTCATTGAAAAAAATTAGCATAACAGGAAAGAAAAAAATTTTAACAATAAATAACAGTAAAAACTGTCATGTATCTGTTCTCTCTTGTTTACTCAGTAACAAAACCCTGACTTATGTGGAATATCAATGTGAGAACTGAAATACATCTTCCCAGATTCTCTTGCAGCTGGGGGTGGAAATATGGTTCATTTCTGGCCAGTGAGATGTAACTAGAAGTACAGTAGGAATTCTGGGTAAGTTCAGATTCCCTGATGCACATCTTTCCTTTCCTCTGTTTGAAATATGCTTATAAAAACAAATGATTATAGGCCTTGCCTGAGAGTAAGACACATACCTGTTACCTGGATGATATAGCCATTAAAAAAGTGTATGCAATCTGTGGTTCAATAAATAGATGCACAGTGTTTAAATGGAAGGAGGTGATATGGTCAATCCTCCTAAAGTACTCTATTTTGTTCTGGGTGCCATAATGCAATTTATTCAGAACAGAGTAACAAGAATTGTATAGGAGTTCCAGACAATATCATATGAAAAACATTGAAAGAGCTGAGGAAATTTAGATTTGACTGACAAATATTGGTAAGTCGGCTAAGTAGAAGAGACTTAAATAACATGTGCTACTCTAGAAGACAAAAATAAGATAGCTAAGTTAAAACTATAAGGCAAAATTTTAGCAACCTAAAAAATAATTTGGTAATAATTAGAACTTTTAGAAAATGGTACCTTCAGAGAAAAAGGTCTTTGTAGAAGGAACAGTCAACTGATGTT